TAATGCTGTGTTACACATGGCTGAAGTGCATGTTATATATTCTTCCATATACTAAATCCCTAAGAAAAAATAACAAGACTTCCTGTGAAACTCATTTCATGTAAAATCCACTTGATCTCAGAGTCTGCAATGCTAGCCAAGTGTGCAACAGAACAGCCATGCAATCGAGTCGGTTCTCGGGAAGCGACGAAAGTACGCTGGCAGTTCACGTGGACGAGCAGCGTTCTCGACCAAGCGGAATCTTATGCCTATGCAAATTCATATATACATACATATAAATGTGTGTACACATACACACACACACACACACACACACACACACACACACACACACACACACACACACACACACACACACACACACACACACACACACGCACACACACGCACACACACGCACGCACACGCACACGCACACGCACACACACGCACACACATGCACACACACACACACACACACACACACACACACACACACACACACACACACACACACACACACACACACACACACACACACACACACTCGCGCGCGCGCGCGAATATATATATATATATATGTTTGTGTGTGCATGTACGTGTACACGCAAACGCACACACAGACGCGCACACTCACACACATATATAAATATATTGATGAACACACACACACACACACACACACACACACACACACACACACACACACACACACACACACACACACACACACACACACACACACACACGCACGCACGCTCGCTCACGCACACGCACACACGCACACACATATATAAATATATTGATGAATACACACACACACACACACACACACACACACACACACACACACACACACACACACACACACACACACACACACACACACACACACACACATGCGCGCGCGTGTGTGTATTATATGTGTATGTGTATTATATGTATATGTATGTATGTATGTATGTATGTGTATATATATGTATGTATCTATATATGTATATACATATATGGTTGTGTGTGTGTGTGTGTGTGTGTGTGTGTGTGTGTGTGTGTGTGTGTGTGTGTGTGTGTGTGTGTGTGTGTGTGCGCGCGTGTCCTTTCATGTCCCCAACCTGTCTTTGGCCTGGAGCGAGATGTAGAATCTGCCTGACGCTTTTAGGACGAAATCTCATCCTGACCAGGTAGCTACCTTCTTCAGAGTTGTCAGCTCATTTTCTGCTTCAGCGCCTTGTTGCGTTAAGCCTGACATAGAAAACATTTGTAATTATATATGACAATTCAGGATTCTGCATATGCCAGCTTGAAATAGGAGGCCGGCTGTGTAGATGAAGTGCGTCGACATGCGCTATCAGCCCTTGTTTGTAAATACGGCTGAGTCAAAGTATCTACCATACGTATCCGCGATGAGTCACGGAGTGTATCCCTGTCCAATGCATTTTCCTTTCTTTTTGGATGTTACAGTTTTCCTATTTCTTCACTTGTTTTTCTCTTCCCCTCCCCAGTAACTCAACAGTGACAGTGGAAGCATGGGGAAAAAGTAAGTTTGTTGGCGACGACTCACACTTTAGCCCCATTACACTGAACAGTTTAGTGTACCAAGGAGGCTCTTACATCATTGCACAAGGACTTTTTGGTGCATGAGGAAACGTCTTTGTCCAGCGAGCCTTCTTGCTTACTCTGCGGGTCGTGCTTCCATCACATCGAGTGTGTGTCAGGAATTCGGTGTAAAATTTCGCATATATAAGCTAGCAAGTTATGATGATACTGCAGTAACAGTAATAAAATGAATGTAATTTTGGTCCATGTTATTTTGAGAATGCTACTAATGCAGGTTATTTTGGAAGCACGATGGCAATATAATGCAAATAGTCCTCTAACGTGTACACACACACATATGTACTCATAAACTCACTGTCGTAGGTGACGGAACGACTGGCGTCCCTCCGAACCGCAGTCGGTGTTATCGGTTGATAGATACACAGTGGCTGGTTATAGCTGCTCAGTAGACCGTATAGAATCCCCCAACCTAACACTGCATTCCTGTTGCATGTAGGCTTGGAACCTACCTGGTATTGATGCTCAGTACTAATCATTTTAATTGCTGGGAGTGTTCGTTGTTTGTGGAGGTGTATTATTGTTTGTATTTTTTTCTCACAAGTCCATGTCTTTGCTGATGCAAATAGCGGATGGTGAATGGTTGGATAAATATGACATCTGTATATATTTAAACCTTTTCAAAATCAATAACGGTTATAGAATGATGCTGATATTGCCAAACAGAGATTGACAGTAACTTGTGGCATTTCTGTAGATGTATATTCATAAGGTGGTCATTTCAAATTAAATGCTGATGAGACATAGAAAAATGTACATATCAAGCCTTTGATATTCAGCTGTTTACAAGTATGCCAGTGTATGAGTGTATTTGAGAGGTGTTTTTACCGCCATTCTAATTTCGCCTTTTTTCCCTACCCGCGCCCACAACGCCTGTAGTCAGAAAATGGACATTGGAGGCCCCACC